ACAAAACAAACAACAAACCCATGTGGTCTCCATATCAGAATCAACTGTGTTCCTTGAGAGTATGTATCTTAAAGGTCTGTCACCTGTTTGGGCTTTAACTTCATTAGCAATAGCAATGTCGGTAATGTCGATTATCAATCCTTCCGCACTGATGACCTTTTTTAGGCATCCATTGACCTTATAATGATGCCAGACCGTGTGGGTCTTGATCTTTTCTGCTTTGAGAATATCAGTGATTTTTTCTTGGAAGGCCAGGAGCTTAGCCTGAGTTGGCTTGTCCCTTGGGTGTAAGGTAAATCCGGAGGGGCACCGGGTCACTTCTCTAAGCTTTTGAGGGTGGAGCTTAAGTCTTCTGTTCAGTGTAGATTTTATTCCGTAAGGCTTTAAGTAACTATTATCTATGCGGACAAAGACCTGGAGATCATCCTGTTTCTTTTTCAGTTGGTTGGCAGTGATACGGGCGCCAGGCTGTGTTTTCTTTATGGTAGTGTTGACTGTCCGTGGATGCTGTCGTTGGCTAGAGGAGACAGCTTGGGCAAAGGTCACGGTGGGCTTTACCATCCCTATCCCCCCAGGGATGGTCTTCCTTTTGGACAGATCTCGGGTTTTCAGCCACTCGTTCAGACATTTAGAGAAAAAAGCGCTGAACTCCTTGGCATGAGAGTATAGTTCGGTTCTAGCTTTCTCAAGTGTCTTATTAACCGCTGCAGCACATTCTTAAAACATTGTTATCCTGACTTCATAAAGGTGCTTGTCTTTAGCCAGTATTCTGGCAACTTAATCCTGGCACTCTGAGGAGGAGGTTTTATTCTCTATACCGCGTATAATAGCTTGGTCTGTCGAGATTTCGTTCAATTGAGGTCGTTTCATTCCAGTAGGGCTGCTGTCATTGATATTTCGGGATTTTCCTTTCAGAGGGGAAATACCGGTGAAGTCAGCCTCAGAGACCTGTGACGGGCTGCTGCTAATGTCGTCAAGCAGCGCCTGGCGGAGCCTGCTCGGAGTTGCCGGGCCGTATGTCTTTCTAGGGGCCGGGGATTTGAGCACGCCGCCGGTGGTCGTCTTTGGGACGGCCACGGGCGTGTTTGAGGTCCCGTCGTGGAAGGGTGCCATCCGGCTTGTGAGAAAATTCTCTTGTGCCTTGGCAGAGATAGTCAGTTACTAAGAGAAGTGCCTGCTTTAGTGCAAATATCAAGGTTGCGCCCTAACATCGGGGCGCCAAGAAAAATAGTTGTTTTTGTGAGGCTGTGTAGACAAAGAAAGAGAAAAGTCGAGTTGCATCTATCATTCACTTGCCGTCTGACCCTTGTCCAGCCCTGGGCCCCGCTAGCCAGGCATCCCGCCCGCCTCCCGGCTCCAGGCCCAACTTTCCCCTAACCCCAACGGACAGAGAAAGCCCCCTTCCAACCGTCGCAGCGACACGCCGACAGCACGGCCGGATTCGCCGTCTCGTCCTCTCCACACAACCGTCAGCGCCGGCCGAATTTTCGCCCGGGAACCAAATCGACTCTACCCCCTCGTCTTCAAATCGACTCTACCCCCCTGGTCACCGTGCACGCGCCCAGGTGCGCCGCGTGCAGGTCCGTGCGCAAATCGACTCTAGTAGAGTCGATTTGGGAATAATGCCTAGGGTGGCTCGAGCAGCGCAGCTTCCTCGTGCTCGTCTCGGCCCTCCTCGGCCGCACCCGCAAGTAGCGGCGTCTCTTTCGTGCACGGCGGTGGGCGCCGAGTCGGGGAACGGTCCGGCGACTTGGGCGGAGCACCGGCTGACGGGCTCGCTGATGACGATGGCATGGCTGTTTTATCTGAAACCGAAGCGTGGGTCTCGACCAGATAGGTGATTGAAGGTGAAAGCTTTCCTTCGGGCCATTGTGCTTGGACTTGGACTTGCAGTGTCGGTCGGTGTCTTGGTGACTAAGATAGTCAGGGTGGTGACGCTTAGAAATCCAGCCGGCAAAGACGCAAACAGTTGGCGCGTCCCGCTGCTTATTTCCGTCCATCCTTACCTTGACAGGTGTTCCCCACGTTCGCAATCCTCCGATAATGTGGCGTAGGTTCCATTGAGACTTCCCGACCAGCACGAATCACAAGGGGGTACTTTGAGTTCACTACGATAGACAGCTGTTGGTTTAGTATCGATGCAAGGTATAAATTCAAGTTCTGTGTTGGTGATACTGATTTGAAGATACGCAACAAACATTATCATTACTATATCAAGGGGTCTTAGTAGCAACAGTCCCGTGTGCATGCACGCCGTACGCCTCCCTACGCAGCCCTCGGTTTCTGCGCAACATGGATCGCCTCCGCATCTCCGTCGAAAACGACAAGATTGCTCTTGAAGAACGGGGCGCCCAGGATGAATTGGGGCGAGTTGATAGCCTCCGTGATGGAGGACTGACATGTGCCGTCGGCGAGCCTGTAAACAAGGTCATGGGACGAGATGTTGCGCGTCTCGCCGGCGATGATTACGCTGAAGTCGGGCGCCGTCGCGTTGCAGTCGATCACGTAGTAGTCGCCTGAGACGGTCGAGCCACCGGTCCACAGGGCGTTGTAGAGCCCCGTAGTGCCACGGTCCACTTTCATGTACGCGGTGCCCGAGTCAACCAGGACGTCGGTGGCGAAGGGCGTCGCGTAGCCGGAAGCGGTGTCGTTCGGGTACGTCCAGCCGTCGATGTTGCCACCCCAGTAGGAATAGCCCTCCTTCTTGAAGTCGGCCGAAATGTTCAGTGTCACGAACTCTGCCGTGTCGACGTCGCCGGGGTACATGCCGGTGGCGATGCCGCCGAGGGAAAGCGTGCCGGTGTTGGAGGTGCTCGAGGGGCCGTTCGAGATGCCCTCGCCGTACGTGATGGCGAACTGCCATGCGCCAAGCTGCTCCTTCAGCCTTTGGAAGAGCCCAGCCGGGGCCTGGGCGGTCCAGGGGTCGCTGAGGTAGAAGCCGGTCGCCTCGCCTAACCCGAGGCCGATAATGCCGGTAACCTCGTTGTCGCCCCCGGAGAAGTCCACCGCATCGGCGTACCCGATGGGATAGTTCTCGACCGTAAAACCGCCTATGGTGACGGTGGTGTTATAGGCCGCGCCTTGGGCGTAGCCGGAGCCGTATGATTCGTAATAGGTCACGGCAGTCCCGTCGTATTCAACGGCATCTGGGTCGCTCGTAGGATCGTAGGTCCCGACAATGCCACAAGTGGTGGTGGTGTAGTTCCAGTACCCATCAGTGCATCGGTAGTCAGGCGTGGCGGTCCATAGCGAGAAACTGCCCGAGTCGACCAGCAGCTTGACCTGCTGGTTGCCGAGCTCGACGTCGATATCGTAGACAAGCTGCTCGACCGATGAGATATTGACGGATGGGGTGGAGGCTGCGTCCCTTTTAAAACCAGGATGCTTCGGTTGAGCGCTTCGCGGGTTCAGCGTGGCCGAAAAGTCCGCCTGTCTAGGTGTGTACGCGGCGGACGCCAGAGCAGCGCCCCCGAGGACAAGTGCGTGACGCATGTCTGAAGCTATAGTGGTACACGGAGAAGGGAAGAGAGGGAAACCAGGCGCAAACGAGTGAGATGAGTGAGATGATTGAAGTGTCCCTTGACGTTGCGGAGTAACCGGAACGACTTGTATATATACCAACTACCAAGGGACATGGCCCTCGGCTAATAACCCGCTGTACCCACACTTTGCTCGCGCGTACTACTCTGGAATACGAGTTCACGATCTGACGTTGCAAGCAAATTCGCCTGTCCTCATGGGTATTGTAGATCAACTCCACGGGTGGGGGACACTAAAAATGTTAATCCTTGAGCACCGCATGTACTGCGTAGTACTGAGGTCTGCCGGGTTCCGAATTTCCTCCACGAGGGTCGGCCACATCTACCTATAAGCCTTCAGAAGAACTTAGGTTTTATGTGATCTAGAAAAGCTATCAATAGTAATTGATATATTTATTTAAATATATTTATTAATATCTAAATACATATGAGAGCCTCTGGGGTGAATCATGGTCCAGTTACAAGGCATAACGTCAAATCTTACTTCTTCTTGGCAGGACATGGTTGGTTAGCAAATATGGGTCGATTCTCGTCGACCTCGTAAAGCAAGTATCCACAGAATAGTGGCCAGACTGATAGCTTACCTATACTTCAGTGTGTCCCTCTATCGATAAATAATTGTAATGAGTTGGCTTCCCAGCTTGCCAGTAATGGCAGCATGAGAGCGCCTTGCTTCCCTGCCTCCCTACGGGAGAGAGATCTGAAAGATTCAAGACTACGGGTCCCCGTGGCCTGTAGGAGTGGGGAAGGGAGGAAAGAGATAAGATAAGCGATCAAGTAGGTGACGGCGAGGGTAGTATGCGAAGATAAAGCAGAAGACAATGCACGGCGGGTAGCGGGTATAAAAGTCGGCTGTCTGGTCCTGTTTGAGACGAGTTGTAGCATTACCGCAACGTATTTTCGCCGGACTCACAAATCGATCATGCGTGTTGCTATTGCCGGACCGGCGACATGGGCCGAGACGTGGTCGAGGTGCTTCTGGCCGCCTCGCACCAAGTCGTGGTGTTATCACGATCCAAGAAAGCGTCGAGCGCGAAGATGTCGATTTCCGCCTCACGGACTACTCGGCGCCATCTCTGGCGCAGTGCCTCTCCGACTGCGACGGCCTCGTCTCCACCGTTCTTGACTACTCTGTGAACAACGTCACCATACACCTCGCGCTCCTGGAAGCATGCCGACAGTCCCCGCGCTGCAAGCGCTTCAACTTTGTTGATGATTTGCCGTATGCTGTCCGCTTTGATCTCTATGGTGCCAGACCTCCTGGACGATCTTGGCGGCTTGTGTGATACCCCCGATGCCGAGAATGTCACCCGTGTCGAAAAGACGCAGCAGCCGCGCTCGGAGGTCCACGTCTTCTGCTTCACACATGAAATGACAAATTTCGGTCATACCAGCGCGCAAGCGTGCACTGTACGTTCGATGGGGTGGATTTCCTCGAGGTGGCGTAGGCTCATTTCTACGAGCTCTTGTACCTGGAACGGGGGAACACGGCGGAAGTCCCGCTGGAGCTGTATGCGGCAGGCGTAGTAGAAGACGAGGGCATGGTGTGTGGCCAGTCTCTCCGCAACAGAGGACGGTTGCCGGAGACGAGAAATGTCTGGTTTGGCATTCGCTATACGCGCCTCGATGGTTTCGAGGTCGCAGTTAGACAGGCTGCATGACGCGTGCCTCATGTGGCTCATATGGTGGAGAGCGTCGAATAACGGCTTGAAATGCCATAGAACCTGTCTAGATGGTATGCACCGTCTTGGGCAGAACACCCTTGCACGGTTACAAACGAGACGCAATGCTGTTCCGGCAACTCGTCCGAGCCTGCCCGGGCCTTGTGCGCCCCGGACAGGAGACCGATAAGCTTTATGCATTCGAAAAGCTGGTACAGGATGCGAGCATTGTAAATTTCTCTCCACTCCGGCCTTTGCGCTTGCAGCCATTCACTGCCGCCGCGGACGTGGATGCGCCAGGTCGAAGGGATGCCGGTAATGACCACGATAGATGTCATCAGGATGATGGCGGCAAGGATGGACTCATGTAGACCTTCTCCTGACTCGGCTATGCTCTGGCGCAGGTAGGGCAGACCGATCTCCTGGTGCTTAACGGCGGTGGCCGAGATGAAAGGCTGCGGCAGCATATATGCAGTGCAGAAGCGAAGCGTGCCCAGGACGGGGAGTTTCCGACTCGGCCGACGAGAGGGATAAGGATGGTCCGAAAGGGGTTGTCGGAGTACGGTTTTGGCAGGAAGACGTCGCTCAGGTAGGAAACCCAGTGGCGGAACAGCTTCCGCTCTTTGACTGTTGCCGAGGCCAGGAAGGGCTGGACAAGCGGCAGGATCTGGACATTCACGTGGGAGATGGGCGATGATAATGAGCCGTTACATGATGCAGTTGTCCCCAAGCGGCGGGGTGTGATGGGGGTGATTGGGGTGATGGTGACGGAGTCGAGACCTCGGTGCTCTGGTTATGGTCGGCCGAGCACTGACTTCCGGGGCTTTGCGACAGGCGGAAGACGGTGAACGGGGCGATCTGGATGTCGCAGGTGTGGACGCGCGAGTCGATGTCCTCCAGAGCGCGTTTATGTGGTCCTCGTCGTAGACCGGGTTGTGTTTTGTTTGTTTGTTTTGTATTTATCGTGGGTGCAGTCCCTCAACAGGGCAAACCACGCCTCCCAGAGCCATTGCATCGCAAGGTTATAGAGGTGTCAGTCTAGATACATTCAGATCCGCGCACGAGCCTATCCTCGCTGTAGCGGTACCAATCTGGAGTGACCAGATGGTTTTAGTCAATACCCAAGCACGATTCTGTCAGAAAAACCTCCTGTCCAGTGACTAAGCGACCCAGTGAACCTCAGTACTCTGGTACACACATCGTTCCAGTAGCCGTTCGATATATGTCGCATTGGTGGGTGAAATAGGTGTTTGTTATCTGCTGGCGAAGGAAACCATAAGGGGAAAACCCTCGCAGGAGTGGGTGTTGTGGAGACAAGCTGCTTGGCTATCGGGCTCTGCGATAAGGGGCCTCTCCACTGTCGTGTGCTGGTTGTCGACTCGCACAAGCCGGGTCAGAAGGGGGCCATAGCAGGATTCGAACCCACTTGTTCTCGTCGCCCACCGCACAAACGAGAACACAACCAGGCGCATTTGACCATTGCGCCATACGGCCAGACCGGGTTGTGGCACGTCGGGTCGACCTGTTTTCCCGCTCGTTCTTCCGCTCGTTCCTCCGCGTCTATTGCTCCACATTTAGCAGCATGCGCCATAAATCTACAACCCCGCCGGGCATAACGCCAGCCTTTTCGTCAAGCACCACGAATGTTCGCTCTTCAGTTGACCCGAGAACTGCAAGCTCAGCTTAAACGCCGGAAGCTCGCAAGGTGCTTCGGACGGTGCCCGGCCAGATCGGGCAGTGATAAGACTGGTATCTTCCACGCTGACAGGGAGAGCGGGGTGGTTTGGGAAAAGAGAGCTGCAGCCATGTGCATGGCCATATGCCTCGCGGCATCTGCCAGTGCCAAGTCCGATAGCCTCGTTGGTGGAAATCCTTGAATGTGTAGGCCAAAGGGAGTCTTCCATTTCGTCGAGTCGTGTGGCCGCTGTCGAATCACTGCTGTTCTTGTTTCGCATTTGATGATGTGTCAAGCCTGCAGCTTCCTTTCGACGTTGTTACACTTGGTTTTCTCTGTTTGGCACTTTGGCATGCCGTCCGGCCATACGCAACGCAACAGATGGCGCGCCCGTTGCCCTGTCACCCAGCCATCGCCCATCACCCATCGTCATTGCCACACAGCGGGTCCTGTAGGGTTTACGGACACCTGGGCTCCGTACATCAACAAGAAACATGTGTTACCAGGGGCTTCCGGAAGAAGATCAAGGTCTGCGGTTTGACAATGCACTACATTCCAGCGGCAGAAGACCCCCATGTCAATGACTGGGTCGTCTGCAAGCCTTGCCCTGGACCCGCAGTTACAGCCGAGGATGCGAGTGGCAATCTCTACATTGCTCAAGAGGGCGTCGATCGGGGGTTTGGGTGATGCTATATTCTAGATCGCGAAGTGACCTTACTACGGGGACAAAGCTGAAGAAAGACAGTGTAAGTGGGGGTAGGCTTGAGTATGCGTGGCCGAGGCTGTTGGAAGAGTCGCTGGTTCAAAGGTGGTTTCAGACGAGTAGGGGAGAATACGGATCCTATAAATCGAACGGCGGAGATGATGAATCGGAATTATTGAGGCAATTTGTTCGGGGGGGGGGGGGGGGGGGGTTGACCTCAACGCTTGCATCACTCAGACGCAACATGATGACGACGAGAGTTGAGAGTATAGAGATTGCGAATGGCATTTTCAAGCTGTAAAATGTAAGCACCTATGGGATTTCCTCGAGGCACGGAGGTTTCAGCCTCCTAGTCGACGTGTGAGTTTGGGATTACTTGGCGATCGCAAAGTTGAAATTTCCGCTGGCAGCCAGTAATGCGGTAGCTTTCCCAGTAACCTTCGGATCCGGCCCTATGAGATTGCTGGGGAATCCCGGGTCGAAAGGAATGATGCCTTCCAAGTACTCGATTTGTCGTTCCGTCAGAGTGATTTTCAGACACGCGATGTTGTCCCTCAGGTGCTCGACCTTCCTACCCCCAAGAATGGGATACGTATAGGGATACTTGCTCATGACATAGGCCAGAGCAATCGCAGTCGGACTTTCGCTGCTATGCTCGGCAGCGACGTTACAGAGAGCTTCGCTGATCTTGACCTCATCCTCGGATTGCTCAGAGCCCCGGATGCTTCGAAGTGGCTCGCCTTTACGCTTCCGCTCTTCAATTGCTTCTTTCGATTGGAACTTGCCAGCACCCATGGCACCCCATGGAGCAAGTGCCATTCCGAAATGGCGTGCCATTGGGATGATCTCTCGTTCGAAGTCGCGCAGCATGACGCTCCACCGGCCTTGGTAAATACTGATGGGAGTCTTGCCCGTGGCGCGGGCGTAGTAGTTGGCGGCGCTAACAATCCATGCTGGGGTGTCCTTTTGAATGGTATTAGTCTCGATCGCGCTCTGATTTCGTAGGAAGACATAGCGTGCACATCGGAGCGGAGGGGGGTGATTGGATAATGGTCCGGCCACTTACCGACATGCCCAAGTACAGGATTTTGCCTTGCTCTACGAGGACGTGGAGGGAGTCCATGATTTCTTCAATCGAGGTGGTGTGGTCCCACCAATGCAGGTAGAGGATGTCGATATAGGAGGTACGAAGCTTTTTCAAGCTCGCCTCCACACTGAGGCGAAGGGACTTCTTGTGGTTCCCCGAGTAATTGATTCCCGCCAGGCCTAGGTCGTGCTTGCGATAATGCGTGGTGTACTTCGTGGCGATGACCATTTGATCGCGGGTACCCCTCTTCTCGAAATATTCACCGAGCCAGGCCTCGGATTCATCATCTTGATAATCGTTGGCGGTATCCATGAAGTTTCCCCCACTCGAGACGTATTCATCGAGGAGTCCGAATGAAGCTTCTTTGTCCATGGAACCCAACTCCTTCTCCCATGCTTGGCCAATGCTCATGGCTCCCAGCTGAAGTGGGGAGACTCGAACTCCGGCGGTGGAGGAGAGGATCCGGTAGCGACCCAATTCGGTAGCCGGGGCGGTAGCGGGCGCGAGTATATGGGCCATTTTGAAGGGTGGACGGGGTAAAGCTAGAAGGCGGGGGGCTGACGGCGAGTCGAGAGGTTATGTGAGAACGAGTTGAAGTGAGGAACAGTCTCGACAACGGGCTTAGGACCTTGTATGTTCAAGGCTTCGGAGGGTGACAGGGAAGACAATGGCCTGAACCGACATAGGACACTGCTCGATTCGTCCCCTTTCGACCGGTTGAGTCGAATGAAAGTATATATGCGAGTTGCTTCAACTTGGGAGGCGGTCGAACTTCAGCAGTGTTCCGGAGTTTATGGACAATTTCCACTAAGTCCGCTCACGGGGTTAAAGTATGTCGGCATCGACGGTCAATCTGCAGAACCAGGGACCACAATCTCCAAAGCGGATGCAGGATGCCTTCTGATTCTCTGGTCCTGGGGACTGGGTGAGTAACTTCCAAGTTCGATCGTGTCGCACATGAGCCGACGTGGTTGCCAATCGACCCAATGTCTTCCCAGGTTGTAACCTCCACGGGGAGGTATTACCAGACCGGGAATAACCCGTAAGTCCGAGGCAACCCGTAAGTACGACCCACCAGACGTCGGAACATGGGAGACTGACTGACTGAGGGTGGACCTCAGAGGATGGGTGTTACAGAACTGAGAAGAGACGTCAAAGACTCAAGAACCGGCTGTTCAAGCGGAGAATATCTACAACATGCGCGAGATGGGCGTCATGCTGAGCGAGTCGTAGGCATCTGGAAGGAGTTGGAAGCATGGGAGGCTGACTACATTGGCGGGGTTGATAGGAGAAACTTCTCTGACAGGTTGATGACCACACTCGGAGCAACCGTTGACCACTCATGCCAGATACTTGGCGCGAACTGCCGAGATCTAACCATGGATTGTCCCACCCTTCAAGTTCCGTCATTGTGACATGGGCCAGAGAACCTAATCTTGAACGTGGCCGACTGGTCGATTGGTGTCGTCGATCGGGAACGGCTGAAGATCGTTGCAAGGGAGAGCACTATGGCCAAATTTCACATATCGAGCGGACTGGGCCTGGAGCAGCGCGGTGTCACCGACGGGACCCCATACGATATATTCCATTGCAGAGTACGAATGGGGAGGCAGGAAGTTATGGATCAGTTGTTGACATAGTGGAAAGATGAGAGTCGGTAGGGTAGCAAGCTTGATGGAGAGCCAGGGCAGAACCGGGTGTCAGGAACAGACCGTTACCAGACGCAAGAATTGAATGGCACGCAAGCCACCGTGGCGTCAGGGGGTGGCAGTGCACACTGATCAGGGGGGCCATTGGGGCATTTTGGGGCACTAACAGAGACTACGCAACAACAGATTCAGTCAGATCAGCAACTCATACACGAATATCAACCATATGAACCATCTACGCACTGTTTGGCAGCATGAGCCATGATTATTTCATAACAAGGGGGGTAGATGACCCGCCAATGCAGTCTGCAGCCGCAAGGCAGCCGGGGCCGGACTGTCCGCCCCATGATGCGTGGGTAGGAGGAAAGTCGGGAGAGCGGGTAAGGTCTGTGGCATATCGAACGGGTTGCAAAAAAATGAAGTCTACTGAACTGCACTTCTTTTTTCTTATATCTTAGAGTAACGGGAGTAACGGTGTGCGTCGCGCATGAGGAAGGAAGTACGGATGAATAGGGCGGCCACATCCTGACTCGGCTCGGCGCCTTTGAGCTGATCACATCTCCCACCACCTCAAGTTGCACACTTTGCCACATTACGTCGTCCGCGGAGGCGATTCATGATAGCTTCGAGTTGGCATAGATACCCAAGTCTCTCGTGCCTTCCCGCTTAAATTATCAACTCCCCTCTTCAGTGATTAACTTCCTCATGACTTGCCCATCTCGTCCCTCGAGGCAGCAATTACTCGAGCTGCACATATACAATCTGGTTGTTTCTCACCACCAGATTGACTGGCATCTCGCCTCAGTCCTTATTCAACTTGAGACTGCAGCATCTTACACATCCCAACCTGCAGATTCATCACCTCAGTTTCGTGAGTCGGGGATCCTACCGAGCCAGGTCCTTCCTCCAGTTCGTTGACAACACCTCAGCCTCATTCTGCTAATTGCGCACCATCTCCAACTTCAGCCAACCTTCAATCACTTCGTTCCATCCTTCACCTCCTGCAACGCTACTACTCGTGCACCCAATTATTCAGTGATCCGCTTTCAGGCGGCGCCACGTCTTACTTCTGGCAAATACTCGGGTCAGTCGTCTGAGGCATCACGAACCAGCCACCGAACGAGGGACAGGAGAATACATCCACACAATCACCCCCCTTTCCTCCAGGACTTTTACAACAATCATCCGCACCTCTCAAGGTACCGATGAGGCTAGCCACCTCGCCTACTTCATACAAGTACTCCATCCAAGGGAATTTGGTCCACTGGAGACGCCGTACTATCTCGTCTGCCAAAGCCCGTCATCCATCATAGGTAAGCATCATCAGGCGAAATCTATTCCGCCGTATCCAACTGACTGGTAACGGCATTCGCATCAATTTACCTCACTCACCTTACCTTCGGCCCTACCTTCCCAATATTCCACTTCATTACGCCTGCTCTTACCTAGCCCAAAATTCTACGTCAACATTGACTCCTTACTTCTCTACCGCATAGTTTTCATCACGATTCACCCTGAGCCCCATACTAATTACGATCAAGCTCTCCTCCTAAGGAGTAATGCCGCAATCTCTGTGGCTCGACGAAATCGATCCCGCGACAAGGTACATGCACCTCTGCAAGAATCTATCTGACATCCCCTTCTCCACAAACCGCACGTCTCACCTCACGCTCATGCCCACGTCAAGCCTTCACAACTAGCATTGACCCCTCGGTAAAGCGACTGCGGCTTCACGACGGTCATCATGGCTTCATCTGCACCGGTGAATACTGGCGATGGACGGTCTTCATTGCACCAGCTCCTCGATAAGCGAACAGAGATAATGATGTTCAAGGCCACCATCGATGTCTCTAGGCTCTTGGGGCCGCAGATGATCCGCAACTTCGATGACCAAATTGCGGAGCTCGATCAGAAAATCACACAGGCTCAGGAAGACCAAAGCCTGGAGTCCACCAGGGTGAAGACTGAGGACAATCCGCAACAGGGTCAGAATATCGAGCAGGCTCCCAACGACCAAAGTCTGGACCCTGCCGAGGCGAAGATTGAGGCCAACCCGCAGCTGGACCGTACTTTTGCAGGTACCTCAGAGCCTGATTGTCTCGATCAAAAAAGCAATCAAGCAGCTGCTGCGTTACATGCCAATGACGCCAACCCAGAGAGCAACGACAACGGCGATGCTGCTAGCCACGATTCATACACAACTGATTCGGATGCTGACGATCCCAATGATGGCGATTTTGACCCAAATGAAGTCAAGGTCGTCAAACGCCGTGAGATTGCGCGGGATTCTAGGACTGCACACGAACGGGAGAACCGAAAATTCGAGAAAGAGCTCAAATTTCCCGGGACGCACGGCTATGAAGACGATCAACAAGGCGAGAAAAGGCCGCCTCAGCATACCAACCTTGGTCCGCGCAAACGGAGAGCTGGGCAAGCGGACACCGGTACTGTCAAGTTTGCTATGGTAAATCCTCGGGGGGAGTCAGTTATGCCAACCGACCTCGAAGCCAATCCAATCGTCGCAGCCGATACAACGACGAGAGAGGCCTTGCGAGAGCAGCTCATGGCCACCAGCAAAGACATACACCTGACCAAGGCAGGCTGGAACGAGCTCAACAAGGCTGCTAGGCTCATGGGTCTCAATAATTGCAAGCCTCAAGGAGACAAGTGGTCGCTGAAGAACTTCAAGCTTCCAATGTACCATCACCAGCTCCTGGGTGCAGACTTCATGCTCAGACGCGAGATGTCGCGCTTTGGTCCCAATGGGGGTATCAACGCGGATACCATGGGCCTGGGGAAGACTGCTCAGACCCTAGCCACCATTGTCGCAAACCATCCTCAGCCTGCTGACCTTGCGGCTGGACGAAAGATTACCTTATGGTTAAGCCCCTCGGGCTCGACCAAACAGCTCATCAACGCAGTAGGGAAGTTCACTGATCTCAAAGCAATCATCTACGACCGTCAAAGCCTATTGAAGACCCGTGGGCGCGACCTGCGATCATGCCTCGAGGAGAACGACATCGTGTAAGTGCTCGCATACGTTGAGATGATGGAACGTTAGTCAGTGACTGACCTTCCCTTTTAGCATCGCGACCTATGAAGCATTGCTCAAGGATTTTGTGAACGCGACACAAGCAAAATACGTCAGAAGCGGCAATTGGTCGATTGAAGAGCTGCATAAAAACTACTCTGCCAACCTAGATGACCTATTCAAGACCAAGTTCTACCGACTGGTGTGCGATGAAGCACATAGGGTTGTGAACTACAAGACACAGAGTGATCCTCCTCGGGAGACTAAAGTGATATCCTGGCTGACTTGACACTAGCACACCTCGCCGCATACTATATAGATGCGCAGTACCGTTGGATGCTCACGGGTACACCTATCTTGAACTCTCTAAATGGCAAGTCTCGGGTATATGATGTTTGGAATATCATATTGACTTGCTTCGCAGAGCTCTGGGGGTACTTGAGTCTGATACGCGCCCCGTGGATTACGACCTTCAAGCACTTCGTCAAAGATTTTGTCAAGGTACTCATGAACTCCCCACAGCAGCGGGACAATGCTAACAAATCTGAAAAACAGAAAAAGTACAGGCTTGACCGCATGGTGCAGGAGGTGGCCATCAGAAGGTCTGTCACGTATCACTCTTTGGATGAATCATACACGTACTAAACCCAGGCAGAGATCTTCGAGACGAGATCATGGGCCTCAAATTTTTCGAGTTGGCCGCCGACAAAAGAGAAGTGATGATCGTCTCACCTGGGAAGCATGAGAAGCCCATCATAAAGTAGGTCTTCATTTCCTTCTGCTGAACAACAATGTACTGACAAATATGGCGCAGGGCTTTCGAAAGGCTCTTTCGCGCATATTTCAACACGCAGTACAATGAGGACGAATTTGAGTTCGGCCAAGCAAGCGCCTCCAAAGGGAAATCCGGTACTAAGGGATACAAACCCAAGCGAAATCTGACGCATATCCTCAGACTGCGTGAGATGTGTAGCACCCTCTTTTCGATGAAATCAATGATGCAAAACGCAGAGGATTGCGGGGCCGTTGAGGAGGTCATACAAGACCTGAAGTTCCAGCCTGGCGAGAACCCGTGGTACGACTGGCTGGTGCAATTACGCAGTTATTACCATAAGGCGGCGGCAGGTCAGGAGCCAGGTACGTATGGTGGTCGGAAGAGCTCCTATTGAGGAGGTGAGCAATACTAACCCTCCCTCTCAAAGCAATTTCCCAGTTATGCGAGCTCTGCAACCAGGAATCGGAACAGACATTGAAGATTCAAGTGGTAGGTCGATTGGTACAATATGTCACTCCTACTGACATTATCAGTGTTCGCACACATTCTGCTTACGTTGCCTCCAGAACTTCCCTGGAGTTCTGGAAGCCGTAGAAGCTTCGAAATGCCCCCAGTGCCACATCGAGGATTCCTCCTTCAGGACTCAGGTCCACGACATGACGTTCGCTGCTGTCATGAGAAGAGACCTGGTGTTCAAATCACCACATGGTCAAGGGTCTGGCCGAAAGGGCGTGGGGGACGGGGGCAAGCGGCCGGGTGTGGATTTTTACGGGCGCATGCCGAGGTGTCAGGTCAAATCTCCTGTCTTTGCTGCAATGGACAGCGGCGATTTCGAGGGCCTTGAAGAAGCCAAGACAACCGCCATTGTGGGCTGCGTCCGAACTTGGCTGGCCGAGGTCCCCGACGACAAGATCATCATATTCGAACAGTTCACGGAAGGATGTATCAGCATCGGCCGTGCCTTGGATTCAATAGGCGTCAACTACGCCTATTATGTCGGAGACTTCCAGACAGAAACCAGGCAGCAGATTGTGGAAGATTTCGAGGAGAAAGACGATGTCCAGGTTCTGGTAAGTGTCTACCTTACGCATCCGATCAACTACCGCATCGTAACCGTGAGACTAACACGCCCAAGGTCATGTCTATCAAATGCGGAGGAGAAGCTCTCAACCTGCAGCGTGCCAACCGAGTCATTGTGGCCGAACCTTGGTGGAACGCCTGCGTGGAGGAGCAAGCCTTTGGTCGAGTGTTCCGCCTCGGGCAAGAAAAGGATACTTATCTTATGCGCATCCTCCTCAAGGGAAGCATCGAGACACGCATGACTAAATTGCGAAATAACAAGGCCAATGCCATTGCCAAAATGCTGCAAGAATCCGTGCCCATCCAGAAGGACCTGTCGCCAGGGGAGATCGCAGACTACTTTGGACGCGCTACCGAAGACAAAGATGGACGACTTGTTGTCGAGAGCGATGATGAGGATGGTGAGGATGATGAGTAGCCATCCTTGCAATGGGGTGGGACTGCCGGAGGGCATTGGGCTATTGGCTCTGGCTATCATTTCTGGCAACTTAACCTATCTATGAGACGTCTGCTGCTGTCAGCTGTGGCTGATACCAGGTCTTACTTCGAAGCACATATCCTCGATTTACCAATTACCTAAGTAGCTAGCTACTTTGTCTGATACTTATCTACGCGTTGATCTCAATGCTATAGTCGCCACTATAATTCCGGGTTTGAGCGATCTTGCCCTTGTCTTTGAGCTGGAGGCTCTCTTGGACTCTGGCTCAGGTCAATGCGACTGTCCCGCGTCCAGTGCAGCACCATTAATAACCTACCCACGAAATGCCGAGTATCAAAATACCTCATGTTAAGAGGCGACGGCTTCCTCACTTTGACGGCTTCCTCACGCACCTCTTCCGTCGCGACACCATCCGAGGCATCGGCCCAGTGAGACCTCCGTACAGGGTATCGTGGCAACCTGTTGGGTCATAACGTCGAAAAACAGCTCCGACAATAGCTAAGATTCTTCGCGGAACTAAATCACAACCTCCAGGCCAATGTGACAGAAGAAAACGGGTGGATGTTGCACCGTAGGCCAGTTGCAACCGGGATTTTGGATGTAGCTGGACCGACGGGAATATATCCATTTATTCCAACGGCCCCGACACAACGGGATGCCCGGCCCAGACATACAGCTCGCGAACAGTTGTGACCCGTGCCGTTTGTCGTCAAGGGTTTCGCCGAGATAGAAATTAGCACAGCGGGACATTATGGTGCAGCAAGCCGATACGGAAGGCAGGCAACTTCTCAGCATTCAACTGACACATGTTTTCGTGTTGGCATCCAGCCGCCTTTCAGATGTCAGGGATACGCCATGGTAACGACAACGCTCATGCGTCGCATACGCAATCCTAGCCTCCTGTCGCATCGCAAAGCGTGGGCTTCAATGAGTCTGGCGTAAAAGTCAGGCCTACCTGAACTCGCCCGGGATGCTCGCCCTGATCTTATGCAATTAGGAAGCCCCGAGTAACTGCATAGGTTCCGGAAAATTAACTTAGGAACCTTTTCATCCCGCTGCTCAAGCTGTCCTTCGCTCAAGTCCTTCTGAGACAGGTGACTCAACTGCAGCCAGGGTAACCAGTTCCAGCTTGTTGCACTGCCTTCCAGCTGGACTTTGCCTTTCATCCGAGCCGAACTTCGAGGAGACCATGTCGCTGCCCAAAAGAGGGTATTCCAGGCTGTCGTCTTCGTCATAATCGAGGTCAACCCGAAACTGCTGGCGGTGCGAAATTCAGGAGAGCGATGAGAGCAGGCAAGTTACAGTATCAAAGCAGCGTGGAAGGGCAGAATCGAGGCAAGTACCAACCAGTCTGGTTAAAACAACCTTATTGTCGCCTCCTGCGCTTGCTGTCGCCATCCATTGGCTTATTCCCATATCTTGACAAGATCAACTCCCCTAAAGTCCGCCTGAGCCGGACGTATCCTCTCCAGTCGCAAGAGCTGTGTCAAGTTCTCATACCCACCATAGTGACCTGGGACCCATTGATGATTCCGAACAGCCACCAACCAAGTATCTGTCACTGCATCGGCCTCTTCGAAGTCGTGATGGTTTTCAAATCAGTGGCTCTCTCCCTACCTTCGCTTCGCGGTGGACTGTGTGGAAAGTGGTTGACGGGCTGTTTCTCGCAAGCCATATCTGCCCCTTTTGTCAACTGGCACAGCACGGTCACACATCCGTCGATACCATCTACGCCATGATGGTTGACGTCCCAATTGATCTCTTACAGGAAGCACTTGGCTTTGTAGTAGCCCGTGTGCCACTGCTTGGGTCTTCCAGTGGGTGCTTCCTAAAAGTGACTGGAAGGGACACAGAGGCCCAGCTGCAGAATGGGCAACGAAAGACATGAGCAGACTCGTCGACTGTGTCGACTAGAACCTTCCAGAGGAGGCTGCCGGCGAAGAAACAACCTCGCTAGATATCGGTAACCTGGTCCGACTAAGGTAATTAGGTCTTTCTGAATACAACTTCAGACTGGTGTGTCCTTTTAACGGTTCTAAGATATCCCATTCATATCATTCCATATCGCGGCATCACTGCTGACGATTCCCTGGGCCGTATCGGGACCAAGTTCGATGCCTGTTCATGCAGCTTCAGCACCGTATTCCTTCCCATCCGACAACTCATCTCCATCGTGTCCAAAATTTGGTCTTGGTGCTGAAAAGACCTTGTTGCACCTGGATGTCACCCGAAGCAACATCACTAGTGTTCGCGTCCGGTAATGTGCGGTGCCATCGCTGGCGGTCAAGCAAATCCAAATGCGAGAATCCGGAGTCGCCAGTGATCTGATGAAGATCTTCAAGTGACAGAAACTGGTTTGAGTATATGCGGTGGACGTCGATGGGCTGGTCGCATTCGTCATCCCACTTGCACCCTCGTCTGTCGATGTAGAAATCCGAGTGTGCCCTTGAGACCCAGGACTTGGCGATCTTCGTCTAAATATGAAGAATTCTCGTTGGTCAGGACGGATAGTGGCACCCAATCTGATTCGGGGCTGGAAGCCTTTGGGTTGAGTCCACTGTTGGTTTGTATATGCGACACATGGCTCTGGATGTACGGCGGCGTCTGTATCGGACGCTGTTGGAATCCAGACATCGAGTTGCCTGTAAAAAAAATGACGGCATCGTACTCGATACGTTTGGAATCTCCTGATTTGCCGGACGTGACCTGCAAAACATATCGACGATGAGTACCAGCAGCGATTTTGTTCACCCGCGAGTTGAGGTTCAATTGTGACGGAGATAGCTCAACCATGCGCGCGACAAGTCCGACGTTACCGCCGCTAACACAGACCCGGGGGGAGCGAGATGAGCCAACTGACATGACCACATGAAGACCAAGCGCCTCGTGCAGGTTGATCCCGAACGCATCCCGAACGCAAGGATCAAGATGGCTGGACTGCAGCCGGGCCGGGGACCCCAAGATCATGCAAGAACGCCGAAGCTGACTTGGAGACACTTGTTTCCAACCTGAGCCTCTTCATTTCCTGGTGGACGTTGTCGAATATACCGTTTCTGCCGAAGGGGTTGAATCTGGCTTGAAGTCCCGACAGCTGTTTTCGTAACTTCCATGGGACGAGGCTGTTCGCCCGCTCAAACCCCCAGTTTTCCACAAACGTTGACACGGCATCTCGAACTTCTTGCCGGGCGCGGGGTCTTATATCCCAAAATGGGGGGAAATTTCGCGGGAACTTCCTATGGCAGAAGCGATCCCGAGAGAAACGAAGCCCATCCCATATATAACTGCTGTCCAGATCCCAATAAGCGGGAAGCATACTGAGATTCATGGATTTCGCAGCGCCTACAAGCCACCAGTCATCCTCGAAGAACCGCGAAGCACCAGCCTCGAGAGGTTGCCAATGCGGACCGCCTGGTGGATATATGCTTTTGACCTGTCCGCCGACGTCAGGTGAAGCTTCATAAATGGTGATCTCCAACGGCCGGCTGAGACTTGGGGTCGCTAGGCTGCGGAGGTGGGAGGCGGATGAGGCTCCGGCTACTCCTGCACCGATGATGGGAAAGCGAAATGCATCGGTCTCATCGTGTTGGAGCGTTTGATGTTCGATCACTTGGGCGCAGGCGGCCAAATGGACGCGTAGAACTAACGTGGGAATGAGGTAGATCGCAAACTTCATAGTCAGACTAGGTGTAGGATGCGCCCTGGGAGGTGTTGGTTCGCAAGCAGATGTTGATATGCAGTGCAGTTTCCGCCACGTCGGGTGAGAGAGCATGAAGGAGGTCAGTCACTCTCATCATGCACGTGTACACGCGGCACAGTCGTCCGTTCTGAAAATGCTGACATTGACAGGTCAGCTCCAGCTTGCCGCAGTTGAGCATGCGGCGAGACAGCAACATTACTCATCCTGCAGTGTTCAGCCCGGTGTTCCCAGCACCGGTATTACTTCACAAGATACGGACTGGTAAGGCGAGCTGAAGCGATTAGGCATGGTTTATAAGTCTTATAACCAGATACTGGTGTGGGGGAGGCGGGGCGACGCCGAGCTAGCGGCGGACAACGGTGGGTCAAGCATCATGGGGAATGTGGGGATATCTGGGGTCACGGTGGGGGCTGGTGGCCACAGCGACGCTCTCGCCTGCAACCCCGAACCCGCCACCTGACACCTGCTGGCTGCTGCCCTGTTCCCCACCACCCACGCTACCATCTTGGTCATGCACGTCAAGGCACGCCAGAATGTTGGCGTCGATCATCGCGAACACTTACCACCAGAACTTCGACAATGAAGTTCCGAGACATCTTTATCAACGAGTCACGTGTGTATTCCTTAACTTGCCAAGTGAGGCCGGGGAGAGTCATCCAACTTGCAAACTTCAAAGTAAGACCGGAAAGATTGGAGTGCGGGGATGCTGGCTGTCCGGCTGCCCCGATTCGCCATGGTCATTGATGGCTTTCTCACCCCTTGCCGTTCTGCAGAAGCGCTGCTAGCCTGGGCTGTACCACGCATCGTCGCAGGCATGTCAGGTGAGGGGAAAAGGAAAGAGTACATCCATTTATGGCAGGCAGGCTGGCTCACGGGGTCCCTCGAGGCGTCTACTACAAAGCAGTCACTTCTGCTCCCTTGATACTTAGGTTTCGACCTGACTCTATCCGTGGAAGCACACCACCCAGCACAGTCGACCTACAGCACCGTCCAAAATGGCAGGAGGCGTCAAGAAGCCCGTCAACGTGTTCAAGCTTAAGGACTTGAACGAGCCCAAAAACGTCTTCAACTGGCGACTCTGGTTTGCTGTCTTCTCCTTTGGACTCCTCGGCGCTGCCCGGGGTGTGGACGAGGGACTCATCAGTGGTGCCTTCAACTCCAAGGACTTCCAGCGCACCATCAACTATGCGTCGTACGACGAAGCCACCCAGACCAACATCAAGGCCAACGTCTCTGCCATGGTGCAGATCGGCTCTGTCGGCGGTGCGCTCTTCGCCTTTCTCATCTGCGATCGCATCGGGCGAATCTGGGCCACGCGCCTGCTTTGTGTGGTTTGGATCCTGGGCATTGCCATCTTCATGGGCCACGGTGGCAGCCTCGGCGCCATCTACGCAGGCCGCTTCATCGCAGGCCTGGGTGTGGGCCAGACTCCTGTGGTAGGCCCCGTGTACATCGCAGAGATCGCACCGGCATCTGTTCGTGGTCTATGCACCTGCATCTTCACAGGCTTCGTCTACCTGGGCATCGTCCTGGCTTACTTCGCCAACTACGGCGCTCAGGTAAACTTGGGCGATACGACTCATGCTCGATGGGTAGGTTATCCGCCAGTCATCTCCCCCCTTTCAACCTGAGCTTACTGACCATTGTACGTCAAGCTCGCCCCCACAAGTCTGCATATCATATTTGCCGGCATCGTCTTCATCCTCACCTTCTTTCAGTACGAGTCGCCTCGGTTCCTGGTCAAGAAGGGCCTTCATGAGAAGGCGCTCGAATACATGGCTCGCATTCGACATCTTCCACCAGATGATTTATACGTGGTGTCGGAGGTCAACGCGATCCGCGCCGCCCACGAGGAAGAACTCGAGGCGATCAGGGGCGCAAGCTGGACAGGGATTTTGAAGGAGATGTTCCTGATCCCGAGTAACTTGTATCGTCTGTATCTCAGTGTCATGGTTCAGATCATGTCTCAATGGTCGGGTGCAGGGTCCATCACGCTCTATGCGGTCGATCTCTTCAAGATCCTGGGTATCACCGGCAAGAACGAGTCCCTGCTGGTCACCGCCGTCTTCGGCATCGTCAAGCTCATCGCGGCCATTCTCTGTGCCCTCTTTCTCGTCGACGTCATTGGACGAAAGCGCGCGTTGCTCTTGGGCATCAGCCTACAGGCGATAGCCATGATCTACGTCGCGGGCTTCCTGACTGCCGTGCCAAAACTTGGTGTGGATGACAGCTACGTGCTCCCGGCATCGGAAAAGGCCGCCAGCCGCGGCGCCATTGCCATGATTTACATATCAGGGTTTGGCTGGGCACTTGGCTGGAATTCGATGCAGTATCTGCTGACTGCTGAGCTGTTCCCGCTGCGCATTCGTGCAGTGTCGACGTCTCTCGCTATGACTTTGCACTTCGTTAACCAATACGGTAATACGCGAGCGCTGCCAAACATGCTTTTACCCGTCTCGCAGGGCGGCATCAGCCCAACGGGCACGTTCTGGTGTTTTGCTGCCGTGACCATCCTTGGGGGAGTCTGGGTTTGGGGTAAGCAACTTTTCATCCATTGTGTACCATTCTGTGAGCCCCTACAAGCAATGGCTACCGGTTGAAGCCCATCAGTGGCTTCAGACAATCGGCGTGGTTTCGAACCTCTTTCATCACCTTCCCAAACCCGCATTTGCTGACACAGGCTGTTGCAGTGTCAATCCCCGAGACTCAGGGTAGATCGCTCGAGAGCATGAATAGGCTGTTCGAGCTGCCTTGGTACAAGGTTGGGCTACACGGAAACGACGATGCAGATCGACAGGACGAGGCAATCAACGAGAAGGAAAATGGGGCTTTCGGGACGGCCGGTCATGTCGACGATATTGATGAGAAGCATACCGAAAGGGAGTCCCGCGTATGAAACGCATATTAGTGACTGGCATGTTTCATGTGGCAGATGTGACAGGTTGTAAGTTTTAGGCTGGTGTGTGGCGAGCGAGCGAGCGAGATCTGATGTGAGTAGAGGAAAAAGAGGTTGATGGGGTGATAAACGGCCGGGGTGGTCACTAGAGGTGAAAGGGATCTATAAATGCACAAGATCTGCCTTTGACAGCCCAGAAACCAGTAAAAAAGCACAGTGCGATGTGTCTCACGAGATGAAATGCGAGATTCTTTGTTAGGGGCCCTTGAGCCAATCGGCGATATTAGCCCGAAAAGAGGGGGGATACGGTATTTACGAGAGCACATATAGGGTCTACAAGATGCCTATATTAAAAGAAAGGCTAGGTTTTGCCTGTATTTTACTTTACCCTTTATCATATGATACTTAACTAACTGTTTTTTTTTTAACTTTATAATATTACGTTTTATTGATTTAAACCCATCTTACTTAAAATTAAACCGTTAAAAACAGCTAAAATAGTTACTACCCTTTAATTTACTATTAGCTTACTTATTAGTCAGTTTACGCCTTGTTTACCTAATAATAATAACTTTAAGCTTAAGATAACTCTAAGTAATACTTGAAATATAACCAAAGATTAAACTAACTGATACGCGTCATCAGGGGGAGTAGTCAGTGTGGCTGGCACAGCCACAGTCATTAACACAGCCACTGGTATGTGTGTGGGTTACACATTGTGTGTGCGGACCTGGATAGCTAGGGCTAGACTAGTTAGATAAGGGTTGCACTAAGATAGGGATTGCAGTTACCTTAAGTAGCTGCAATCTTTCCCATCTTAGTCCTTGCAACCCAATCCTGCCTCACACATCAATTGACACACATTGCACAACGCAATACTAACACTTGCATTATTAAACTTAAAGCTATACAAATGTAATACGAAACTGTTTTTAATAAGCGACGACGCTTTATTATATTTAAAGACGACGTTAAACGGCTTAGAGTTAAGATTTACAAATTCAATATAGTATGATTTATTATTAATATTAATCCGATTTTAATTATAGTATTAAATCTAACCCCGGTAAACTAATATCTAGATTCGATTCAATTAAGATCTGCTTTAGCTATTATTTACTTGCTTAATATTAATAGCCAGATTATTTCAACATCTACTGATAGTTATTATAAGATCTATTATTATTATTTGCTTCATACTTTACTTAATATGCGATAAAAAAGGTAAACTTTATTAACTTTATTAACTTTATTAACTTTATTAACTTTATTAACTTTATTAACTTTATTAACTTTATTAACTTTATTAACTTTATTAACTTTATTAACTTTATTAACTTTATTAACTTTATTAACTTTATTAACTTTATTAACTTTATTAACTTTATTATTTAAAATAAAGCCGTATTTAATGAGTAGAAAAACGTACGCTTGACTTAGCGCGTTTTATATACGTTAATCTATTTCATTTTTAAAAAAACAAATTATAAAAGGATAGTCTCTATAAAAAGCTATTGAACGAACTTAAAATCTAACTTACTGTCATGGAACGATCTGGAATAGTTTGGAAGCACGCGTAGAACATCGTGGGAGGAGATGGAATCTCTGTCCGAGATTCTATATAGTTGGCTCGTGAAACGTCTCTTTGCTTGTTTCTTCTTTTTTCTCTTCGTCTCTCGTCTTGTACTCTACCACTAGTATATAGGATAGCAATATCAGTGTCAATCTACCCACCGGCCAATCTTTGTTCGTCTAAGCCTTGATACTTACTGTGACGGTGTACAGCCGTATCCACCTGGATGGATGGATGCTTAGTCATTAGGTCACGTGTAGATTAGATAAGGAAGGAACGGGACCACTACTTAAGGTGTGTGCTGCGCACACCACCTTGCTGGCTTTCCTTTCCCTCCTCGACTTGTTATTTTTGTCAATCCACCAGATTGCAACACAACGCCGCAGGCATCGTGACACTTAAAGTGTGTAGATAAAAAAACCGAACACCTTTTAATTTTACTTTCCGCACTTTTACACACGCTTGTTAAAGACTTTATTTATTAGAAATAAGGGGGAACATATCAAAATTAACTTTATTATATAAATATTAAAATACTAGATTTATCTTATTTATAAACGGTTTTTCTTTAATTAGTAGCACCACTTAAAAACTAGGTATATATTTATGTAAATGTACCCTTTTATACCACTTTTATAAACCCAATTTTATAAAAATAAGTATAGAAAAACTAACAAAGCTATGTTTTAAAAAGTTAAATTTTTAAATACAACGATTATGTTAAAAAATGTAAGGATAAGTATAAGATAGCTAGTTTTACGTAGTTTTATCAAAATCTCTATAAGTATTCAAGTTAAAATACTTTTTAAATTTCGACTTTATTACGCCGTTAAAACTTTATATATTTGTCTTTATCCCGTATTTTTTTTCTCGTGTAAAGCTTTGAATATGGTTATGATGAGAAGGATTCTTTTATAAAAATGCGGTGTTCGGTGTTTATACTGACCCACTGTATAACCGAAATACCCTTTTTAAAAACGAGTTTTAAGAGACGCTTAATATTTTATTTAATACTAAAAAATAATTACTCAAATGAGCTATTAGACTTATAAATAATATAATATAAAGACTAAACACAACCGTTATAGCTTTTTATAATTAATATATAAAGACATATATTTAACTCGTATTTATTAATAATTTGATGCTGTTTGCAATTATTGTGACGGCCTGCACAGACCTTCCCATATGACAAGCGGATACTTCCCAATAGGGGAAGGATCTGACCAGAGGATCCCTTTAAAGGGGCAACCTCCCACTGTACGTATCTCTCTCTCTCGCTTCCTTTCCTCTCTAGTCTTGATATTCTCGTCAAAAGAGTAATAGCTGCTTGCTGCCGGCCATGTCCCAGCTCCTCAGTACGCTCGCTGTGAAAATTATATTTTAAAATAATCTTTAATATAAGATATTTTTATATATAAAGCTTTATTAAATTAAAGCCAGATCGCTTTATATAATACTTTAAATAATACTCAACATAACGTAGATGATAAGCGAGTGGCAATTACAAGCGAATGACAACTTCTTACCAACCTCTCAACTTCCATTTCAAAGAACTAATCACAACGCATTCAATTCAATTCAATCAATCAGATTTCTTTTCCTCAGACGTTTCTATTTCTATTGTACAAGTTCGCGCATTATGGCCAGTGATTCTGCAAAGGCCACACCGTCGCTCATGCGCTGCCGCCCTCTTTGGACGACAACTACATTCACCCATTCCTTGTCTTGCTAGCTCAGTACTATCCTTTGCAGCCTAAAGACCTACTATATTTTTAACAGAAAGTATTCCTTTTTTTGTTAGATGTTTGTTTTTTGTTCTCTGGCGTTTACTTAGTAAGTGATTGATTTTTTCTAGCTCACGGACCCGGGAATCAACCAAAGTGACTTTGTGCATAAGACCGTATGTAGCCTTTAAAAATGAGCTCAACGCATCAATTATTGATATAGGTGACCTTCCTTAGTGGTTTATGACTCGATTCCGGATATAAACCGATTGGTTTACCGCTTCATTAATGGTGGTAGGTGTCTTTGAAGTCCAAGTAGTTGGTGGCAGATTGGGGTCTTGCGACGGTGTTTGTACAATAGCAACAGCATCCAGCTTTGAAATAACACTTTTTGGGTCAAAAGGAACAAGTCCAGTGGCACTGAAACCTGTTCGGATGTTTTCTGGCGTCATAGCAGCGTTATATGCTTCATAAAACGCTGTAAGGAAGCCCTCATTTGAAACATGGGTTATATGACACTGGATAAGATCCTTAATCATGTGACTGTAAGCTCATTTGAGCGGGCTAAAACAGCCGATATCTAAAGGCTGGAGTCTGTGTGATAAATGGACAGGCATACAAAAGGTAATAATATCATTGTTCTGACAATAATTCTTAAAGACCTGGGAATGGTGGCTTTTGTGGCTATTTAAGATGAGAAGGCATTTACCAGGGGTCATACACGGTCTGGTATACTTGTCAAAATGCTAAATATATTTCAAACTGATCTGATTTGTAGTCCATCCGTTATCAGACACGGCTACCTTCTAATCGCATAGTAATGTTGTGTCGCAATACCATGACGCGAGGTAGGTCTTGCCCTGTAGAATGATGAATAGCGGGACCACCCAATCATCATCATTGATAGCAGAGATTGTTGTAGACCATTCTCTGTTGCCTTGCTGAGCTTGTCTAGGCCTGCCACGTCTTTCGGTGCTTGTGACGACTATGCCAGACCTAATAATGCCCATCATAAACCCAGTCTCGTCAAAGCTGTAAATGTCCGTGTCTTAGATACAATATTTTGCGATTGCTGCCTCAACTTGGCAAAACCACACGCAATACGCGTCTGGATCTTTGTTCAAGATCCTCTGGTAGTCTATCCTCCAATAAAAACGCGTCCATAGGCCTGATATGTGTTTAATAAAGTTGCGCATCTAGTTCTTTCTAACGCGTCCAGCCCCACATACCACCAACAATTGATTCGCCATATCTTTAACATAACTGTGTTGGGATAGAAATGCTTGCGCATCTAGGTCAAGAATGAAGGAAAAAATAGTATTCTCTTCAGAAACCGTAAGTTTTAAAGTATTAGGCATGTTGTTGCATCGTGATATTGGCCGGCAATTCTAGTCTTTAAGGTATTATATATGACATGAAAAGTCTTAGAAAGCTTGCCAATAATAATATGACGATCGTGTTGTTTAGCTTAGATAGCAAGCTGTAAGTCTGATTCGCTATAACGCAATGCCATTATTGTTGGTTATCAATCAGGAGCCTTAATGAAAAGGTTAGGTGGCTGGTGAAAAGTTGCCGTTCGCTTGTAATTGCCGCTCGCTTGTCATCTATGTTAAAGCGTTGAATATTTGTTTTTTACACTTTTTAGATATGCTTCAAATGCTTATAAATAAGTATTAAAGTATTTTTTGGGGTTGTTACGG